ACAACCTTTATCAACTGAATGCCACTTTTACAGCCCGAATTACAACCTCTACCAACTGAATGACAACATTTACTGTCTGAATGACATTTATCGACTGAATGACAAACTTTACTGACTGAATGACAACCATTATCGACTGAATGACAACCTTTACTGAACGAATGACAGCCTTTACTGACTGAATGACAGCCTTTACTGACTGAATTACAACCTTTACTGTCTGAATGACAACCTTTACCGACTGAATGACAACATTTACTGTCTGAATGACAAGCTTTACTGACTGAATGACAAGCTCTACTAACTGAATGACAAGCTCGACCGACTGAATGACAACCTTTACTGACTGAATGACAACCTTTCCCGACTGGATGACCACTTCAGACGATTGAATGACAGCCTTTACTGGCTGAATGACAACCATTAGGAACTGACTGACGGCCTTTACTGGCTGAATGACAGTCTTAACTGACTGAATGACAAGATTTTTCGACTTAATGACAACCTTTACTGACTGAATGACAACCTTTATCGACTGAATGACAACCTTTGACTGAATGACAGCCTTTACTGACTGAATGACAACCATTATCGACTGAATGACAACCTTTACTGAACGAATGACAGCCTTTACTGACTGAATGACAACCTTTACTGAACGAATGACAGTCTTTACTGACTGAATTACAACCTTTACCGACTGAATGACAAGCTCTACTGACTGAATGACAAGCTCTACTAACTGAATGACAAACTCGACCGACTGAATGACAACCTTTATCGACTGAATGACAACCTTTATCGACTGAATGACAACCTTTGACTGAATGACAACCTTTACTGACTGAATGACAACCTTTATCAACTGAATGTCACTTTTACAGCCCGAATTACAACCTCTACCGACTGAATGACATTTACTGTCTGAATGACAACATTTATCGACTGAATGACAAACTTTACAGACTGAATGACAACCTCTACCAACTGAATGTCAACCTTTACTGACTGAATGATAACCTTTATCGACTGAATGACAGCCTTTACTGACTGAATGACAACCTTTGACTGAATGACAGCCTTTACTGACTGAATGACAACCTTTATCAACTGAATGCCACTTTTACAGCCCGAATTACAACCTCTACTGACTGAATGACAACATTTACTGTCTGAATGACATTTATCGACTGAATGACAAACTTTACAGACTGAATGACAACCTCTACCAACTGAATGTCAACCTTTACTGACTGAATGACAACCTTTATCGACTGAATGGCAACCTTTACTGATTGAATAACAACCTTTACCGACTGAATGACAAGCTCTACTGACTGAATGACAAGCTCGACCGACTGAATGACAACCTTTGACTGAATGACAAACTTTACTGACTGAATGACAACCTTTACTGACTGAATGACAACCTTTATCAACTGAATGCCACTTTTACAGCTCGAATTACAACCTCTACCGACTGAATGACAACATTTACTGTCTGAATGACAAGCTCTACTGACTGAATGACAAGCTCTACTAACTGAATGACAAGCTCGACCGACTGAATGACAACCTTTATTGACTGAATGACAACCTTTATCGACTGAATGACAACCTTTGACTGAATGACAAACTTTACTGACTGAATGACAACCTTTACTGACTGAATGACAACCTTTATCAACTGAATGCCACTTTTACAGCTCGAATTACAACCTCTACCGACTGAATGTCAATCTTTACTGACTGAATGACAACCTCTACCGACTGAATGACAACATTTACTGTCTGAATGACATTTATCGACTGATTTTGTTCTGTGCATTTAATTGCTGACTCCCGCTCCCCCATAGTTGTATTTGTATAATGACTATTTTCACATGTTGCCATAGTTAGCATGCAAGCAAACTTTGATCATGTTGCATATGACAGAATTTTTTATTGTCCAGATAACAAAATATGTAGCAGACTACTGATTTTCATTTGGGGTTCAATAAACTTTTTAGTTAAAGACTTCATTGTTTGTTTCTCAAGTTGTTAAATAAGTAAACCTAAGTGGACAGTTGGCAATAAAACCATTAGTTGTATTCATGCACTTACTGAAGCTTGATGTCTGCGGTACTGCTCTTCTGTGGTTAGATCAGCTGAAATAGACAAATTGAAAATCGACCAATTAAATCATTCCTGTCATCAGAGAAGCAGATGCACATGGGGAGGGGGCTCTCACAACAACTGATGTTACATATTGATAGCGACCATGCAGATTTTTGAGATCAGCTAAATATCAGTTGTGCATTTACTGCTAAGCAACATTATTATATGTGCCAAAATTATGTGTTGTGTAATAATAAACCAGAAGAATACTGTAAAACCGTTTATTTTCACTGACATTTAATTTCACTATTTTTATGTTTTGAGCATATTCACTGTATTTTAAGTTCACGAATTTGTCCCGAAAAACCAGGAGTGTTATTGTTACTTTACATGTTCATGTAGATTTAATATAGCGGATTTTACTTATCAGCAAAAATATTAAAACAAAAACTCAGTAGACTAATTAATATGCACATGTGCAAATTTGATGACTGTGCTGCTTGATAAGTTGTAATACTGTAAGTTTACCTGCTGTGAATATTGTTTTTTTATTTTCACTGCTATTAATTTTTTTGATCTGAAGTTGAGTTTCGCTGACACGCTGCTACAAAATTTTCTATTTTCTCAGACTCGCTTCATTTGTGAATATAGAACACTATTTGAGTGTCATATACAGAAAGGCGTTCTCACTTTCAACTACACATCTTTTCAAAAAAAAAGGTAATTCTTAGTATTTTTAATACATCTTTGTTATTTTCGATGGTGATCACCTGATATTTATGCATCTAAAAACATGGCTTGATTTGCTTAAAAGTGATTGCAAAAATGCAGTGAAGATAATAATATGCATTGCGTATTGTGCTAAATAGAATATACATCAAGAATTAATATTTGTTATTTAGATTTTTGCAATAATAATAATCCTTCAAATTGTACAAAATGTATTTGTTTAATGTCTGTTACCCAGTTATACCTTTCTTGTCAAGATGTATTCCTAGTTTGTAAGTCTAGATAAAATTTGGGTTAGATTTATTAATTTTGATGCAATATACTATGATATATTTTATGATGAGATAAATGTCTGTGCCCAAACAAGCACAAAATAAGCAAAAAAAATCCAAAATCAAGCATATCAATATTTAGGATTCTGGGCATGCATACCAGTTTCATTATACTGTATTCCACCCTCCTTACACATCCTCCATATCCATGGCTCATTAGTGTCATCCATTGCTGAGAAAATAATCACACATATTTCTTTTTCTTTTCCATCAATTATCGATGATAAGTCTATCACTTCTTTCTTCATATTGGTAACAAAAAACTGGGTCAGTTTGGTCTCTTCAAAAACCTAGTTGTAAAAAAAAGTCACTGTTAATTACATAGTCCCCATTGGAATTAAAGGAAAAATTATTAATTCCAAAAACGAAGTAATATGTACCAAAAGCATAGTTGGTAATTTAGGGTGAATAATTGGCTGGGTTAGTAATATCAACAGAAGTTGGATGTATTAAATGATTCTTCCAAAATCGAACAAGCCATGCATGGCACAGTTCCCATTAGATTTAAAATTTATAGTTTTGTTTATAGCAATATAGTTGGAACAAAAACATGAAGTATGGATCCAGAAGCTGATTCTTATGATGATTATGATAATTTTTGAATATTAAAATGGTTATTGACATTCAGTCATTTTGTGTCTGATCATCAAACAATATTGAGAGATATATTGCTCTGGAGCAGCATTAATTAAAACAAAATGGCCACTGGTCAGCCATTTTGAATTGGATTGTCAAACCAATACATTTGTATATCTATGACATGATTAATAATGAATATATAAAATTTGAACATAATCAGTAAAAGCATTGTCAGAGACATGGCTCTATAAACGCATTCAGTAAAACAAAATAGCAGTCAGCCATTTTAAATCCAATCTGAAAACAAAATTACGTCCATCAGAGACCCATAATTTCTAATGTCTGTACCATGTTTGAACGAAATCCATCCAGTTCAGAAAGGCCAGGGGTCAGGTTTCGAAATGCCAGAAATGCTTGATTTTCAATGATTTTTTGGCACAAAAATGGCCACCATTGAGCCATTTTGAATCTGATCGTCAAACCAATATATCTGTATATCTATGACATGATTTATAATGAATATATATAATTTTAACATAAATCAATTCAATTTAATTACCCTTGTTTCAAATCAATAAATAGTTAAATAAATAAATTACTAACCAGTAGTCCAATCTCTATCACAAGTTGTCTGAACTTGTCTCCTATTTCACAATGAAAAGCCCATTGTGGTTTATGTAACTGAATGTCTTCTTCAAGGTACACGGATACAAGAACAGTTTCTAAAAACACAAAAAACTAATATAAGATACACACTATGATATTAAGAATAACCATCCCAAAGTGGTCATTATTGACTCAAGTTTGATTTGAAGTTCCTGAATATTACAAACTAGTTCAAAATTGTCTCCTGAGGATATTGATAATTTTTATTAAATTTAATTTTTTTAATATTCAATTTGATAATTTTTTTTTTATTCGATTTGATGATAAAAATTAAATTCTGCTTCAGGAGATATACATGTATTGTTGTCCTGCAAGAATTTTTATGTCATAACCTTACAATTCCAGGAGCTCCCATGATGCCTCATGATAATGTGTTGACCAATCAAAACAGCTGTTTTATTATGATATAATTAAGGTACCACTACTAAATTAAATTCATGGCTGTATATTTATACTTTGTATAAGTAAAGGAATGCACTAACACATACCTTTCTTGTCTTTGTCTTCGAAAGATATTTTATGTATTTTTTGGTCAATTTGTCTTGGATTACCAAATACGGACAAACCAGAGGCTGCTGTTCCCCCATATGATGCAGTCATATCATTGTCCATGTGTGACGAACTAGTGCAGTGTCTTGAATTACCAGACAATGTCAAACTAGAGGCCGCTGCTCCCCCATATGATGCAGTCGTACCATTGTCCTTGTGTGACGAACTAGTGCAGTGTCTTGAATTACCAGACAATGTCACACCAGAGATCATGCATGGCATCTGATATGCTGCTGCAGCTCCTCTATAGCCTGGTTCATTGGCCATTTCATACACAGTCATGGCTAATACATTGGAAAGAGCTGCAATAAATGGATCTAGAAACAAAGGTTCTCTTTCTACTTCCTTCTTTTCATCCTTTGGATATGTCACTGTGGACTCTGACTTTGGAAAGGCGGAAGCACCATCATCTTTTTGTTTATCTAACTCTGCAATTATTTCAGGCTTATCGTGCTTGTCAAAAGTCTTGGCATTTCCTTTCATCTGCACCATTTCCACTTTCTTGGTCATCTCCATAGCAACCGCATCATCATCATCTTTAAATCCATCCTGTACAGTAACATCATTCCCTGTATTCTCATCATGTTCTTCTACTTCTACTTTTTCAATTTGATGGCATTCATTACGTTTCATGAATGAAAACCTGTTTTGCAATTCACTCATAATCTCCCAAACAAAAAAAGCTGCAATGATATTTTGAATCATCTCACTCTCCTCTTTTGTTGTTGTACTATCATTCGAGTACTGTTTTTCAATCTGCCATTCCTTATACTGTGCTTTCAAAAATTGCATATTGTCAGTCAAGGATTTCATGTGAATTTCTTCTCTCCTGTACAGTTCATCGGCTAAAAAAACAATATTCTCCAGTTTTGACCTTGTTGACAGCATCGGTACCATTTCTAATGGAACATTGATGAATTTCTCCATTTCAGACAATTTCTCTTCACTTATACTCTGTACTCTCTTCAGTTCTTCTTTCAACTTTGAGTTCTCTGACAACAGTTTTTCATATTGAAGATCAGGACTTGACTTCTGTCTGCCGAGTCGTCCCCACCATGCTTGTTTTGCAGGCGTGGAACTTGGTGAGACTACGGCTTTGTCCTTCACTTCAGCCATCTCGATGCTTTTACTGTCAGTGTGTTCAGTCTTCAACTTAGACTTGTGTTTTCGTATTACATTACAATCATTCTCATTTTTATTCTCATTTTTTTTCTCAAGGTGCAACACTTTTGCCTCAAGCTCTGCATTCACCTGCAATACATCTTCTAGCCTGGCTTCTAGAGTTTTTTTACTTTCTATCACCATGGCAACTTTCTCCTCGGCTTGTTGTAATTCAAGCTGCCACACTCTTCCCATTTTTCTTGTGCTGTCATGGTTCTGCAGTACCAAGTCTTCTACATGCTCAACTCTTTCATGTGCCTTCTTTAGTGATCTATTCAGATTGTGTCGTTCTCTTTCAACTACAGGTATCTTGGCGCCATATTGGATAGTTCGATCATCAAGTGCAGAATCTGATGAACACCGCTTTATTATGCTCGGAATGAATGGTTTGGATGTGCGTGCAATTCGGACTGCATCTGAGAGGTGGAGGAGAACATGAAAAAATAAATACAATAACTGCATATGGTAGTTTTTTATTGTACACAATATTATTAATCGACGTCACATGGAAAACTATATACTTAAATTGTATTTAAGTTGTAGCTAGAACATAGATAATGAGTTTCATACATGTAAGCCTGAGCTCCCTGTGGAAACCCCCAAATTTTAAAAGATAAACTTCTATTCAATAGTTTTAGGAAGGCTCCTAGCTGCATAAGGGACGACGTCAAAAGATCGATGTCGAATAAAAAACTTATTTGCTTCAGTTTAGGGGTGGGGGGGGACGACGTTGTAAGGCTGAAGGTTTGGTGACTGGGTTTTTTGGGCGCGAGTTGTACTACCTACCTTTGTAAATTAAATGCACTTCTTAAAAGAAAGGTACAAATAAAGCTTGTTTTTCTTTGTTATTGGTTCATTTGTAAAGTCTTTTTTCACCCATCCGACAACCAACTGCTATGCCATACTACTGTCCGATTATCAATTTGTATTTAATGGTGAATGTAGTCTGATGCCATGATCAATATTTATCAATTAAGTTTCAGTGGGGGGTGAGGGGGGTTGGGAAAAAAAAAATAAAGGAATTAAGTTTTTTATCCTACATTGAACTTTTGATGTTGTGAAAATTGGTTTTTATTGCTCTAGAAAACAATGTCATTTATTGTTATTCAACTCGTATAAATAAATGGCACACTCCAAGTTGTTCAGATTAACCTCTCAGTTGGCCATGCTTGGGTGTCAGTTAGCTGTTTTACAAATTAGGTAGCAAATTTGATAGCCATCTTGCAAAATTTCCATGCAGTTCCATGCACACGAGCTCAACCAGTATTTCACCAAATTACAATTACAATAATATGAGATTATAAACAGACGCATAACAGAGGTCAATTAATGTGTTCCTGTACTGCCTGAGTACATACTTTGCAGTATTCTCATGATAACCTCATCATTATACATCTAAAATAGCAATGTAGAACATTTCACGCTGTGCATACACATGCCTTCAGTAATGAGAGTCTATTTCCATCTTACGTTGAAAGCGCTTTCATGTAAACAAAGAAAGCGTTTGAATGTGACGTAAACATGGTGCACAATTTTCAAATAAGGAAGACTTTTGAAGTGTCTATACCACACGTCCTTACAGCATTTTATGGGTTAATTAAATCGTTTCGAGTGTCAGATGTATAAAAATACTAGATAGTGCAGTTAGTAATTACTGTAAAATAGTTTATTTTCGCTGGGAATTAATTTTCGCTGAAGGAGAAAATAAAATCCAGTGAGTATACCTTTTTTCCTATATTTAACATTCAACTCATCAAAAAGCAGTAGAATTTAATACAAAACACCCAAAAAGTCTTTTCAGCGAAAATTAATTCCAGCTAAAATAAAGTACTAAAAGATATGACAGTATGGTTAAGTCAAAAGTTAGAATAGTTCTACCTGTCTTTGAGATTCTAATTAAACTTTGTCCATTTATTTGAATGGCTATAATACCATATGTCTTCAGACTATCAACTCTTTCAGTTAATATCTCACGCACTCCAGGAATAATGCAATCAGGTAACTGAAAAGTTACTACTACAGATCCAGACTGGATGGCTGTCACATTAATACATTCGCGCGGTATACCCAGCTCCAGTTGTAGATAAGAACGGAAGTTTTCCAGGTCGTCCATATCAAAGTGGGATATACTACCTTCAAAATGGAAGTTCACATAACCATATCCAGTGTCTGAAAGCAAAATAGTCAGAAAAAGCAACAAATAGTCACAATCTGGGTAAAAATTTCCAAAAATGTTTTTTTTTCACACCATTTCATAAATAATTTTGATTACAACAATGTTCCAATAAATAATCTGAATAGTTACAAAAATTAACTAAAATACTATAAACATATTTGTCTACATTTGAGAAAATCTTGATAAACAATTCTTCATTTGGCAAGATTTGGTAATCAGGTGAGTACATAAATAGAGCATAGAAGAATTTTTTCCTGTGTTCTGAAAAACTGTTATGTTTACAGTGAAAAATGTAATGTTTTTCATCACCTACGTCATTAGAGTCGCACTTGTTACATATCCTGTCAATTTTATTTATTCCCGTGTGACTGCCTGTTTCAATTGGCAAGAAGTGGGCTGAGATACAGAATTTGGTTAATGCTATTCTGTGTTTTTTGTTTTTTATACCATCCAGGAATTTTTCGAATTTATAATTATTTTTTAATGTTTTATATGTACTTATTGATATTTATAAGGTGCCATTGTCAGTTTAAAAAATGTATCAACCACTAGCTATATCAACCATTATCAACTTTAATTAAACTTTAACTTTAATTACCAATCACTAGATTTAATAGTCTTTATTTAATCAGTTACCATTAACTTTTTTTAGGGACGACGTCAAAAGATCGATGTCGGATAAAAAAACTTAATTGCTTTAGTTTGGGGGTGGGGAGGTTTTGACCTCAAAAAGATTTTATTTTTTAATGAAGTCAAAAAAATGTTGGAGTATTTGTAGTTCGTTTTTTTTCTATCCAATCATGGACAAAAATAAAAAAAAATGAAAAAAAAATGTTAAGACGAGAAAATGTGGTTTGGTACGAGTGTAAAATTTGCGTCAAATGATGTTAATTTCTGGGCATGGACGTAGAACCAACTGCTATGCAATACTACTGTTCGAATATCAATTTGTATTTAATGATGAATGTAGTAAATGTAGTAAAGGAATTAAGTTTTTATCCTACATTGAACTTTTGATGTTGTCCCTTAACCATTACCAGCTTTGTCAACATTTATCAACTACTAATTTTTATTGACTGGATTACTATTTATAATATTAATAACCTTAACTAACTTGATCACCTTCTACAGAATGGAATCACAAGTTACTTTAATGCGCGGTGGTCGTCGCGCAGCACGTGTTCGAATTTCATGTAAATAAACAGTGTATTTTACACGCGTTGTACATCGCTATGAGTCCCATATCGAACAGGACGCGGCGCGACGACTGCCGCCTTTTAATACCATTTGCCATGGAGAGCGTACTTTACTTCTATAATGAAAACCTAATATTTATTTAGCACTGTAAAAACTGAATTCTGGTAGTAAAAATAGTTGTTTTTTCAAGAATTAATACCCCCTGGGTAAAATACAAATGGAATTTATTTTTTTATTTAACACAAATAAAAGATCAATTTTTGGTTGATAATAAATCTGGTAACATCATTTGCCATGATTTGATCCAGTATTAGCAAAAAGTTCATGCACCATATATCATGCTGATGGTAAGATCACAAATCTGCCAATATATAACAAATCTGCCAAAAATATAACAATCCAAGTTATGCTCATGATGGATATTCAATAAATTAGGTACTCATGTTTCTCCCAAGAAAAAAAAAGATAAAGACACAACAATAACAAAACAAAGGCTACAAACTTTGCATGGTGTCTTTCCAAGATGTCGATGCTTTATATTCTTGTTTCAAAGCATTACTTTTTCTTGCCATATGCCTTTAGTAGTGTGTCGGTCATGAGTACGTTCATTTACAAATTTGCTCAGTTACCTTCTTGATCTTGTCTGTTTGAATCAAAGAATCGCAGTGCATTTCCTCTATTTCTACCAAATTGTAGAACCTTCCTATGCAGGTCTAATCGACCAATACAAAAGAGGAGATACTGTAAGAAATGTAGATTATAAGAAGAAAGGAGGGCGTGTCTTTCAAGTTCATTCATCAAGTCTCTTGTAGATTTTATAGCTTCCAGGTAGCGAGCAGGAATTGACCGTGGATTGTCAGTACAAGGATCTGTGTAAAGCATATAATGAAATACAATTTACTTTTATATATAACCCTTGTCAATAATAAATAATTATGCTCTTTTGATGTCAGATGAAACTCAGAGAGATGGTATTCAAATATCCCAAGCATACTGGTAATGAAAAACAATAACGACTTTATACGACTCTTGATAGACCGGTCTTCTCGCACAGTGTTCCCTATAAACTAATTCACTTGTAGAAATTTTGTGACTTCATGCGAAAAAAAAAACACTTTGAATAAAGTATCTGAATAAAAAATGTGTATAAACAAGCCATGCATGGCACAGTCCCTATTAGTTATCGATTTTTAAGATATATAGTTTTGTTTACAGTAATATAGCTGGAATATAAACATGTAAGGAATATGTTTATGATGATTGTTTAACATTAAAATGATTGACATTTCTATCTGATCGTCAAACAAGTACTTGTCCATATTGAGAGATATTGCTCTGGAACAGCATTAATTAAAACAAAATCAGCCATTTTTAATACATGTATAATGAATATATAAAATTTGAATATAATCAGTCAAAGCATGTCAGAGATATGGCTCTAGAAGCCCATTCATTAAAACAAAATGGCCACTCGTCAGCCATTCTGAATCTGATCTAAAAAATAAAATAACATGCATCAGGAACCTGTAATGTCTAATGTATGTACATGTACCAAGTTTGAACAAAATCCATCCTTAAATGCCAGAAATGCTTGATATTTGATGTTTTTAAACACAAAAATGGCCAGCATTGGGCCATTTTTAATAGGATTGTCAAACCAATATATCTGTATATCTATGACATGATGTATAATGAATATTTCAAATTTGAACATAATCAGTTGGAGCAAGTCAGAGATATGGCACTAGAACCACATTCATTGAAACAAACTGGCCGCCAGTAGGCTATTTTGTATCTTATCTGAAAAACAAAATGATGTGCATCAAGGTCCTATAATGTCCAGCGTATATACCAAGTTTGAACAAAATCCATCTGTAAACAGCTGAGAAATGCTTGATTTTGACGATTTTAGAGAAGAATATAAAAAGTTTGAACATGATCAGTCAAGAGATGCAGCTGTAGAACGAAATTCATTAAAACAAAATGGCTACCAGTTGGCCATTTTGAATTCAAACAAGAAAAGTTTGAATGAAATCCATCCATACATGATCAAGATCTGCGTGGTTCTGAAATGAAAGAAATGCTTGATTTATGACGATACTGGAGATGGAGATGCCTGTGATACTGGTACAGATGTACAGTTGCATAGAGACATATAAGTCAATCAATAAGTACTTGTTTTGTTGACGGGGTCTGAACGAGGACAAACAACATTTCTGGTTCTTTCATTTTACAATATTTCAGCAACAAACAAACTGAGGCATTCCAAAAACTAATCCACGTTTTTGTTGACATAAAATTGCACATATATAATGTACATTGCGTACTTACCAGCTCGCAAGATAAATTTGATTTTTTCTAAATCTGATGATTCTATCTCTTCACACACTGTGTTCAACATGATATTGTAAGCTACACTTGGTCCGATAAATCTATCTGATGATTGTTCAGTTGTCTTTGGTGAAGCAGGCTTTGACAAATGCTCTAACCGATCATGTGGTTTTAACAATGCAGGCTGTACCAGTTGCGGTGGAGGAAACGATTGATGCTGTATCTCTGTCTCTTGTAGCACATAAGGCTGAACCAACTGATCACTATTTTGGAGTGTTTTCTCTGAGTGCACACCTGAATCAACAAGTATATTTCTACCAATGTCTGTATCAGATTTTGTTGATTGACTGAATAACCCATCCAGTTGAGATATTAAGGCAGGATGTGAGGAGTAATTATGTATTTCTACAAATTCATCCGTGCCCTCGTCTCTTACTGCCAAGATTGTCCTAATGTTTTCATTGACTGTAAGAAGGTGAACAGTTTTTGACTGAACAAGTGATTCCAAAAGAGCAAGTCGTGAATCCAATTTCTTTACTTGTTTTGATGGCAAAATTCCCATCTTGGAAAATGACCCTATTTATATAAAGACAGGAAAAATAATAAGCACAATTATAATATATTCAGATACAAATATTATTATTATATTATACAATTATAATATATTCAGATACAAATATTATTATTATATTATACAATTATAATATATTCAGATACAAATATTATTTTAAATTTTCAGAATTTAATAAACCTTCAGGTGCCTTGGCCACATGAGGCCGGTAATGAATACAACATTCTGATTGGTCCATCACTTTCTTGTTGCTTGTTCTATATCCCTTGGTTACCTGACGTCAGCACTTACATATTTGAATGTTTTCAAATTACAGCACTTAATCACATGCTTTTGGACCAGAATCCTGGCCTAGTGGAACAATATGGCGAATACTGGTCACCTGCGTTCTATTTGCCATTCGCAAGGGACGCCAGGAATCAGGTGCCTTGTTTAAAGTATAAGAGGGACTTTCTTAAACAAGGGAAAAGTGGTGCAGCACCCTCGTGCCATGGCCATGCGCCCCCCTTCCTCTGGGCAGCAGATCCTCTGGCAACCATAAAATTCTGATTGACCAGGGATCACATGTGGCCACAGTTTTCATTTGTGACCTGTCTGATAGTCATTTTGGCCCCAAGAAAGCCATAGAATGCTCCATTTTAACTTAGAATTATTAAAATCTCTACACCCTGGTAGGAAGAACCCTATCTCCCCCACTTAGTGGCGCCGCTGAATTGCAGTGCTCCCTCTTGCAGTTTTTTTTCTAGAAAAACCCCTGAATTAGTACCTGTGAAAAATAACCACCAAATATAACTGGCCTTTAAATTCAGTTATTTAAATTATTGTCAGTACAAAGGACAATTTGTCAATGAACTTAAGCTTCAGTAATCAGCACTGGAAAAGTATTAACTTACAGTGGTTTGAATTTTTACACAGAATTAGTTTTTTTTTTTTCAGGATTGCATACTAGATAAAAGAGAAAGGATTTTGCAATGTAAAAACTATCGGTTATGGAAATTACTGTAAAAATTTCATCATACCCGAATGTGAAATTCTGTAACATAATTCACAACATATTAATTGAAACCATTCGTCCTAAACAATACTTTGAAAGCAATTTAGTCATCAATCATCATGGCTACAACTGGTGAACAAGCAGAAAATGTGAGGGCACTACCGGGGGGCACTACAAATTATTTTTCTTGGCGAGTAAATGAAAAGTTGAAAATAATATGAGGGGGTACTTATACTTGGTTAGGATTTCCACAGCATAAATATACCGATATCAGTATAAGCACCAGTCAAAATATATGATTTAACCTTTTCACCACCAGACTTTTTCGCCTTAATTTGTCTGCACTTTTTTTTTATATTCCTCAATATTTCTTATTTTAGAGCCATCAGACAAAATTTGATTCAATTTTCAGTTTTTACTCAAAATATTTGTCTATTTTTGTGCCAAATCTTTTATTCTGAAGGAATAGTACAGATGATAAAACGGACTATTTTGTGAATTTGTGATGAAAACAGAAAAATGGTAGTGAAAAGTTCAAAATTTGAATTTGGAGACCCCTACGGTGGCTAGTTAGAGCCATTCACTTTTTTTCGAATTTCTCACATTTTCACCTGTATTTT